TACATAAAATTTTAAGCTTTGGGAACAGGTTTCAAATCAAAGCTATACATTTATGCTTTTGGATAGATGTAATTCTTAATTTTATTTTCATCAACTGATCAACTTCTCTTATAGGTAGCCTAAAGTAATATATTCTAGACTGTGGAATATGTATTTTGCAACTGCAAGTAGACAGTTTTAACAGTTCAAAATCTCTATTAAGAATAAGAAAATGCTAAGACTCTTGAGCAACCGAAGAGAACACCTCCCAATCCATCAACACTTCACCAAAATATTATAATCTGTGTTCACCTTCCTCGCCAACACTGGAAGCCTCGGATCCAGGAATTCTCCGGAGAATAGAGAGATCAGGACGTCGACGATGAGATGATGGATGGAGGGATTCATCATTCTCAGGTTCTGGATGTGACCTGCATAGAGAAGTCCTGCACCTGTAGAAGGTTCACCTGCAGCGTGTGTTACACGCTTTTTAACACCAGGAATTTTAACCAACCGAGAAATTCCTCAACGTGCTTTGAAGAGTTGAATTGTTGGTCTAAAAATAAGTAGTTATGTAAAAGGAGGCTTGGTTTTGAAGAGACAGACGTGAGTGTTTGAAGTGTTGGCTGGTAAGAGCGACAGTATGAGGAATTCAGTTGCAATGCATATTCTGTGCAGATTGATATAAATGATTAAGGCAAGCTATATTTGAAGAAGATTTAGAAGGAAGACTTGAGCTTGTGGAAGGGGATAGCCTACCTATATAGGTCCAAGTCTTGTAATGTGCAAATTCATAAATATCCGCATTTAAAAGTTTGCAAAAGATCTTCCCACTAAATATATAGAAAACACACACACATCATAATACTAAGCATAATGACATTATTAATCACCACCAGGATTACTTCATTTATATTAATTTGCAAAATTTACATATAAATAAAATTTTCGAGTAGCTTTATACGGGTTATAGTGAGTGTTGGGAAATAAATGAATACTGTGATAAATTTTGATATTTTGAATCCATTATACTATTACTGAATGGCGTGGTCGTACACAAGATGTGTGGAAAGGATACTTCATTGGAATACTGAATGAACGCATTGATTGAATCGATGAATGTGTTTAAAATTTAAATAATCTAACATGTTTCAAATATTATTTTCAAAATTGATGAACTAGCAATCTAGCATTGCTTATCTTTACAACATCTAGCTGTACAATCATGTTTTACGGGTACTACTGGTAAGTGCATGGGAAGGATTATAGTGTTAAAAACCAAAGAAACTTAAAATTCGACATCTGAATTTACAAATTATATTCTGCTCAGCTGTACAACCAGTGGGTGTTCAGGGGTTCGAGTGGAAGTTTAGGAAAAGTTTGAGATCGAAAGACACATGGAAGTTCTAAAATCGTTGCACCATCTTCGTTTACAAAGTTACGACAGCTCGGCTTCCTCAAGTGGTTGATGGGCTAAAGTAAATGTGGGAGGCCTCAAATTGAGGTGCGTCCGCAACAACCATCCCATCGCCATGGTGACGGTGTCCTGCTCTGGATACTACCAGATGCTACCAGAAAAGGGTTGGTGGAGTGGACTGTATAAATACAGTCAGGGACCTTATAACTCGGGAAACTTACTCTTATAGGTCAAGATTTTACGTTGTCAAAAGCAATAGTAGTAGGCCTAATTGCATATTTCGATCTTTAAAATATTTATTTTTAATGCATATTTTTTTGTATTGCATAATTTCTCAAACTTTATTGTTAGTTAGTTATCACTCACTGAGACGCTGAATGCAGTCATGAGACTTTGGGAAATGAATTTGTTTAATGCAATAACTCTCTGGTACCCGATAAATTAACTCAGAACTCCTCCAAGATTTAGCAGCTTATGAATTTCTTGTTGATAATTTGTTTATGATATGTAAGTTTATCTTTGCAAATCCAAACAAACCCAACAAATTGACGAACTGACCTTTTTTCAACATTGCACACCATGCTGAGTTTTGGAATTATAAAATAACGCACCCTGCTGATGACCAAATTCACTTAACCCAATAAGTGACGTGAGAAAGGCAAATGCACTGATTTAATCTTACATCTAATTGACTCTAACCTCAAACCTTAGACCTCCTGGGCTTCTGGGATTTCCTTGGGACATTTCTGCACTCCAAGGCTGCAGGGAGCCACTCAGTTAGCTCCACAAAGACTATATCATACTCCACTGCATTACTCTATGGTTCTCCGCGGGTTCCAGAACTCTTCTCCCGCCAAATCAACTGCTGAGGCGACGTTTCGCGGGCGGTTTGACAGTCAACAGGCCGTCACCACTCCATGTCTCCCCACGAGTTGCTATGCACTGCGTAGTTATGTGCTAATTCAATTGTGGAATCCGTCAAAAATTCCCATGAGTGATTGAGCTGGGTGGATTTTGTGGGAAAGTTTCTTCTGGAAGTTTCGATGTTTTCCTAACACTGGACATTGTTTTATTACAAATAGATTCTTTAGGACAAAGTTAAACATGACAAGATGAATCGTCTTGTATAGATATAGATAAATAGATTATTTGCCCTTAACAATTAACTAAAGATTCTTTTGGTATAATTCCGTCCGTGCTGTGTAGAGAACATATTTGGTTTACTATTTGCTTCTTGACCCTAAGGTATTTTAAAAACCATTTAAAATAAATATGGAAGAATCTATACGTATAAAAGGCAAAGCCCTCACTGACACACTCACTCACTCACTCATCACTAATTCTCCCACTTCCCATTTACCTAGGAGTCTGAAATTTGGCACATTGATTCTTTAGGCATTAAATAGGAAAACTAAGTTGTTTTTATTCTGATTGGACTCTCGGGCTCCGCCCCAGTGGCTCTGGAGTTTCCCATGTTAACCTTATGTTTTTTCATATTTAAAAGGAATTAATGAATCTTAACAGCTGTTTCAATTAAACAAGTTGGTTCTGTTCTATGATGTTCAATAGCATTAAAGTTACAAGGATAACCAACAGGGTGCAGCACTATTATTTTTTTAATTAATGACAACAGCTAATTTGCAGCTAAGAGGTGAGTGAGCGTAGCGAACGAACTTCAACCTGGAGGCGAGTTAGCGTAGCGAACGAGCTAATCTGAAGGCAAGTGAGCGCAGCGAACGAGCTCCAACCTAAAGGTGAGTGAGCGTAGCGAACGAACTTCAACCAGGACGTGATTGAGCCATGCGAACGAGCTCATCTTGAAAATTAAGAAGTTAAACGGGGCAAAGCCCGCGGGTACAGCTAGTCTAATTATAAACTTCTCATATAACATAATTTTGAAGAAACTGGAATCTATTCTCCAATGAAATATAAGAAAAATTAAGTCAAAAGCAGCCCACTTAAACGTAACACACATGTAACGCACTTAAACAGGCTCGATATTTCACAATATGATAAGAAATGTACCGTTCAAAGTAAGTTATTCAACATAAATTATCAATCATCATGTATGTGAAGTTTATGATATTTTATATGTAAAAATGCCAATCATAGTTTTGTTTATGCTGACTGATAAAGATTGGTTGGAAATTAAAGCTGCACAATTTTACATGAGGTTTGAAATAACAACCTGAAGAACACGAGCAATAAAAGTACTGTATTTGGAATAGAATATTTTTAGAATAAATCGTCGTTTAGAATTCCATCAATAGACTAATAACGTGTTTAATGTAACCGTTCCTTGGTCTTTCGTTCCTACACCAAACTCCGGTGAGAGAAAACTACTTCAATAGAAACAGACTCTAGCTATCGCAAGCACCATCTAGTAAAAGTAGTCTACACTATGACAACACGAAACTTAAATCGGGAAAAGTAACAACAAGTAAAGTAGCTTAAACAATTGGGTAAATCATGTTGTTGAAATACAACATGTAAAACAGAGTTTTGAATGGATCAAAACAGATTATTCTTATCATATTTACTAGAATATTCCTCTTTAGTTGTTTGTAACCAAACAACAAGAAGTAGGGGAAAACGTGACAGTGTTTAGATGATAGTTATGAAACTATTGGTAAACAGAATTATATCTAGCAGAAAGGTTTAAAATTAAAAAGAAAGGATAAATGATTCTGGGGAAACTTGATCGCCTTAATGAATTTAAACCGCTTAAGCAATGTGCAAGTTCATAGGAATACAAGGAATGTATGTATGAAGGACATCCACTACATTAATTTAATATTTAGTAGGGGCAAACAAACACTGCATATGAATGAGAAATTAATTGACGTAATGTTTATTTTGCAACATTTTATAGTTGTTCGTTAACAACGAAATAAATAGAAACTTAATTTGTCAGACGATTTCCTCATTCATTTAAAGTTAGGCTAAATATTTGTAAGATAAAAGAAATCTACAAATTCCACGAATATATAGCTGCAGAAATCTCTATGGAATTCGACAGAGGGTACTTAATTAATCAACACGATTCTATTATGTGCACGCTCCAGTAGTCCAATTATCCCAAAGAAATCTTACGGAAAGTAGTTATTGCAACAAAAGTTCCATCAACCGTTGTATTTTTGTGAAGTGCTGAAAATAAATAAACTTTTCCTACAGTCGCTTAACAAAGTGGGCTTCCTTGCACTGAGTACAGAAATCTGCTAATTGCTGCATTTTCTTACTTTGCCGCACACCAGTATTCCAACAAAACAACACAAAACAGCGTGCTATTATTATGCACGTAATACGTGTAGTGTTAAAAGTCAAAAATGGAGAGAAAAAGGACTCGATACTGGGCAGAAAATAATTTAATTATTCACAAAAGAAAAGTTACTCAATCATAGTAAAATGCTACCAAACTAATCTTGTATTTACAACATAACAATTCATTCCAAAAATCATATGTGTTAAAATTATTAAAAGTTCATATTTTCATAGCAGCTGGAAAAGACAATACAAAATATAAACCATAGATTATTTAAATCAAATGTTTCTATACTATATCCATCATTCTCCCACCTTTTGACTTGTAAAGTCAAAATATTAATTATCGCTTCAGGTATCTTCGTGGGGGTATAATTTTTCTTCCTCTTTGTGTGTAAACAGGTTGATCATGTTCACGATCAACACCTTCAGCTACTTGTTCATCTTCCATTTCGAATGTTTCATTACCATCTTGATTGTCTTTCTGCTGGACCAATTCAAGTGGAAACACATGTTGTATGGGTCTCAGCACTGTTCCTTTTGATGTTTTCATTTCCACAAGACGTATGTTGCCATCTTTTCCAGGAAGTATCTTCTCAATCTTCGCCAAAGGCCAGTCCATCCGTTTGGTATTGTCTCTTCCAAGAAAAACAATTTCTCCAATTTGTACTTGACGAGATCTCTTCTTCTTCGAATGCAACACCAATTGACTTAAGTATTCACTTCTAAATCTTTTTTCAAGATCTTCTTTTAATTTTAATTTAAAGTTCCAACGTCGAGACAAATTTGTGTAGTTGATCTGGTCCAAATCAATAACTCCATACTCCTTTGTACCATTCGAAAACATAGCTGGCGTCAAAACTTCCATGTCATGGCTGTCTTCTGAAATGTAAGTCAAGGGTCTATTATTTATGACAGATTCACAACTGCACAAAACGGTAAAAAATTCTTCATAAGTCAAACTAGCTCTTCCTAAGACTCTGCGAAGAAGCTGTTTCAATAGTCTTATAAGTCTTTCCCACCAGCCTCCCCACCATGGTGAAGCAGGTGGGTTGAATTTCCATTTTATACGTTTGATTGTGCTGTACTCAACAATCTTATTCCAATCTATTTGCTTCAACGCACTGAAAGCTCCTCGGAAGTTAGTGACGTTGTCCGCAAACAAGACTGTTGGTCGACCCCGTCTGGAAATGAATCTTCTCAAACTTTGCAAGAATGACTCAGTCGATAATGAAGTAACTAACTCCAAATGCACGGCACGGTATACTGCACATGTATATAATGTAATCCAAGCTTTTTGGCCATCTCGAAGGAAAACAGGTCCAGCTAAGTCAACTCCACAGACTTCAAAAACAGAAGCATCTCGAACCCGTTGCGAAGGAAGTGGTACTGGATCAGTATCCAAACTTTTAACACAATATCGCTTGCATTTGACACATTTGTCAATAACTGATTTTACAGTTCTTCTCCCACTAATGATCCAAACTTCTTCTCTGAGAATAGATAACAATCCTTGGACTCCAACATGTGAATTTTCTTCATGTTTGTATTGTATGTATCTGTGAACAACAGGATGGTTACTCGGCAATACTATGGGAAGATTAAAATTCCTACTATCAGGTCTCTCTGTGATTTTCGTTTTTAACCTGAATAAGCCATCACTGTCTTCAAACGGACACAATGAACTCAATTTTTCATCCTTGATACTATGGAAAGCGTCTTTCTGAATAAGTTTAAACACTTTATTTTGAGCCTTAATCAATTCATCAACCGACAATCCTCCTGATATCTTTTGTTTAGACATATTTGTGTTACAACAAAATCTCAAAATCCAGCCTACCAATCTGACGATTTTATCAAATCTGGAGAAATATCTGTAGTACCAACAATCTGTTTCAGGTTTTGAATTAATCAGAATCTTTGTGGTTGATTTGATCTTCCTAAGTTCAGAATTTACTTCTTTCTCATCACAAACATCACTGAAGTTTTGGTTAGGCCACAAGTTTGATGAGTTTCTTAGCCATTGTGGTCCCTCCCACCATTTCGACTCCACTAGCTGCTTAGGAGAACATCCACGTGACGGCAAATCAGCTAGATTCATATGGCCTGGAACATGATTCCATGATTCGATGCTACTAAGGGATCTTATTTCCTTTACTCGGTTCGAAACAAACACTCCTCAGTAATCTTCTCGACGAATCCATGATAAAACGGTGGTTGAGTCGGTCCAATAAAATGTTTTGACATTTTCAAATCCCATACTCTTTAAGACGTTGTCAACAAGACGAGCGCCAATGGTAGCCGCCAATAACTCCAGTCGAGGAATAGTCATCTTCTTGACAGGTGTAACTCTACTCTTCGCTTGAACTAATTGAACTGTGGTATGTCCATTAGATTCACCCCTCAGGAAAACCGCGGCCGCATAAGCGTCCTGGCTTGCATCACAAAAACAGTGAACTGTCCAAGAAATATTCCCTCCGATTTCATTTCCAAAATATCTTGGAATTTTCAAATTTGAAAAAATCTCAAGTTGCTTTGCCCAATCTAAAAACAAAAGTTTTATCTCTTCTGAAACCTTGTCATCCCATCCAATTTTACTTTCCCACGTTTTCTGCAACAATATCTTAGGCAAGAGTGTAGCAGGACAAGTTATACCTATGGGGTCAAACAACTTGTGAGCAAAAGACAAAATAGATCTCTTTGTGACTATTTCAGGCTCTTTAAACTCAAAGTTTTCAAAATTCAACTCAATCATGTCAGTATTTTTGTTCCAATTTAAACCTAAGATAGGTGTCAAGGTAGAATCATTTTTGAAACTCTGAATTTCTGTGTACTCCCAACTCCGAAGACAGAATCTAGCATCTTTCATTACAGAAGTCGCTTGATCTACAAATTGATTCAAATCTGAAAAGTCATCAAAACTTGCCATACAATTATCTACATAGAAACTTCTCGACAGTGTCTCTACTACTTTTCTTGAGTAGTTTAACGATCCTGAATCTATCAAGTCTAATGTTTTTTCTAAATGAAGTTTGATTACTGCACTCAGCATAAATGGGCTACAAGTAACTCCAAAGACCACTCTAGCGTGTCTGTAAACAACCAATTGACCCTCTTCATTAATCCACAAAAAACGAAGAAAATCTCTATCGTCCCTATGTACACCAATCTGCAGAAAAGCCTTCTCGATGTCGGCAACAACTCCATATCTGTGTAGTCTAAAACGATTTAATATGGACGGAATCAATTCAATTAGATCGTCCCCTTTTTCTAGACAATCGTTCAACTAGGGCTGATTCTTTTCTTTAGCAGATGCGTCAAAAACAGGTCTCAATTTCGTGGTAAGACTGTTTTCTTTTATCACATGTCGATGCGGTAGGTAGTGACCAATTTCCAATTCGGCATCGTTAACCTTCTCTATGATACCTAATTCCTCCCAGTCAGACAACACCTGTTGATATGAACTAAGATATCCACTAGAATTAAGTTTATTTGTAAGATTACTGAGTCTCTTCTGTGCTACTTTTAAATTAGTGGGTAACGGCGGGTGATCATCAACCCATGGCAATTTGACCTGATATCTTCCATCATTTTCCACTGAAACAGATTCTACAAAATGTTCCATTGTTCTACTTTTAACTGAAGATTCACTCTTTACCTCCACTGGATCCTTGATTCCTAAAACATCCAAACTCCACAAATCTGAAATGGATTTATTATCAATAGGGGAAAGTAAAGAAGTTACTGCCATAGAACTGGACCTGTCATTCCCTTCAACTGTAGTTCTTCCCATTAAAGTCCAGCCCAACAAAGTGTGCATCGCAACTAAACCGTTGGAAAGCAGATATCGTTTCTCAGTGTAAAGTTTCCCGGCAACATCTGCACCTATCAGAACTTCAATAGGCCCGTCTCCATCTTTTACATTAATTCCCAGTGTTCCAAGCTCAATGGACCAAGGACCAGGCTTAACTGTTGTAACATCGTTACAAATTATATCTTGATCAAGAACGTCAAAATTGCAGGCATAACTGTTATTTAAGTCACTTAGTCTAACCTTATAACACGCATGTTCAATTGTTTCAGTACTAGTGCCACCAAATAAAGCATGAGCTAGCTTCTCCCTACTGAATATGTCGTAGCCAAATTCCTTTGCTGTATTTTTCAAAATATAAGATCGTTGTGATCCCGTATCTATTAATGCACGTGCTGTTCGCTCTCGATTTTGGTTTCTAATTTTTACTAAAAAGGTTTGTAAAAACACTTCTGTGTGAACATTGTTTGCTAGAGAACTTTCTTTGACTGGTTGTTCACTCAATGAACTTCCTTCTGCAGCAGATGCCCTACACATAACAGCAGTGCGCCTCCTTCCACAGTTAGGACATTTTACTCTAACTTTACATTGCGCACTCCTATGACCATACTTCAAGCAAGTAAAGCAACAACCATTTTTTCCAACGATTTTCACCTTCTCATCTACTGTCAATTTACTGTCTTTACAGTTTTCAGCTAAATGGTTAGAACCACAAAACATACATTTAACATCTTTATTATTTAACTTATCAGACTTCGTTGGGTTGACTAAACCAGCAGCTGTCGGCATCATTTCAGTATGTCTGGCGTAACTAGGCTTAGGTCGAAATACAGTAGATTTACTTACTTTAGGCTGTAGGTTAGGTCGCTTACTATTTTCAAAACCAGATGCGGCTAGAGTAATCCTTTCCTCGTTAGCAACCTCTTTTTGCAGAAACTTCATCAAACCATCAAGTCTATCCTTAAGTTCAGCATCAACTTCATAGCCGGAGTGACGCTGCCAAGCTCTCAACAATTCCTCAGGCAAACAGGACTCTATAAGAGGATATAACATAGCAGAACATTTGTCAGTTGTTACTCCTAATGTCTCCAATGCTCTTAGTTGGGTTTCCAGTTTATCGTAAATGCAAGAAACTTCTACCTTACTGTTTAAATTACTCAGAACTAACTTCAAAAGCTCTCTAACATACACTTCTATGAGAAGGTCATCTCTACCAAAACGACTTTTAAGACTTTGCAAAGCTTTTGAATAGTTCTCAGCGGTAGCAGGATAGCTTTCGACCAGCTGACGAGCCCTAGAATTAGCTAAAGTAGCCTGCACAAGATAATGATATTTATCAATATCGTCAATATTCTCGTCATCATCTATTCTTTTGAATTGTGCCCAAAAAGGTAGCCAATCCTTCAAATCCCCGCTAAACTTTGTGAATTCAATAGTAGGTAGCCTCAGCTTAGTCCTAACAGCAGTAGATTTACTCATTACAGACCCATTAAACTCAGGTGAAGTATCCCTAGACCTAATCAATCTACTCTGTACAGCTAAACTAATTCGATTAAACTTCTCTACATATTCATCTGCTAGCCTAACTTCTTCATTTAACTCTTCTTCATCTGCTTCAGAATCAAGCAAGAAATCTAAAATTTCCCTGTCTAAAGTTTTTAGTTCTTCTATCTTACCTTCCAGAGAGCTCAATTTACCCTGTATGTTGTGTATGTCTTGCTCATCTTTGCATAGCTCCTCATTTATCCCAATTATAAATTCTGGTAAATGATGTTCTGAAGGTTTTTCTTAGTTTCCTATTTCTTTCCATTATCTCAATAGTGACTATCTGTTTAAGAACTCATACAGTCCTGTCACGGTCCCAAATGTTAAAAGTCAAAAATGGAGAGAAAAAGGACTCGATACTGGGCAGAAAATAATTTAATTATTCACAAAAGAAAAGTTACTCAATCATAGTAAAATGCTACCAAACTAATCTTGTATTTACAACATAACAATTCATTCCAAAAATCATATGTGTTAAAATTATTAAAAGTTCATATTTTCATAGCAGCTGGAAAAGACAATACAAAATATAAACCATAGATTATTTAAATCAAATGTTTCTATACTATATCCAACATGTAGCCTACGCTTGAAAATAGATTGGCAACACTTACGACTGCTATCAGCTGGAGCAACGTTTCCCTTTTCGTTCAATGTTTGGATTTAACCTAACCTAAAAACGAGTTGTTCAGTGTTTTGAAAGACAAATTATTATATACTTAATAATAACTGTAGGAAAAAAATAATGTGTAACGCGAGTGCAAACTGCCTTTCGAGAAACTTTCCACACTCATCTACAGTTCGTGCGTAGACGTGCAGCAAAGTGCTACTTCTATTAACACTTGTAATAATATGTTAGTTCGCCTTTACTGTTGAATCACATAACATTAAATACATCGTCTGACCTGGTGATGGGTCTGATGATGATTGGAGTGACCAATCGAAATCGATCACCACTTACCACCTTTTATATGTATTTACCGTCTTGTGATTCGACAGTATAAGAGTAAATATCATTTACAAGTGTTATTAGATATATTTTATGTACTCTTAGGTATCGGTAGTGCATATGTGTGTTTAATGTTGGAGATGTAAGTAGGGTGCCCCCGGATCGGGGCAAAACCACCCCTAGAGTTGTACAGTAGTTTAATCCTTAGGGGTAGTGAATACATATAATAAAATCTACTGTTTTTATTTACCCTAAAAACACCAAATTTACCAAATTATATTCACATCAGTTATAAGGTTTACCATTAGGGTACAACACCCAATCAAACTGGTATTGTTTTTAATAAATAGTTTTAATAGTACCTGAAATTGAATAAAAATACTACAACAGTAATGCTTACCTTCGTGGTGTAAACTCCTTGAAGACACAGAAACAAATTAACTCAAATCATGTCACAATAACTCAATTATATAGTAGTATGTCAATTAACTCAAGTCAC